AAAGTCATGACATCAAAGATTCTACGATGGGCGATAAGATTGATGGCATTTGACTTTGATATAGAGTATGTCAAAGGAAATTCAATTCCACATGTGGACGCACTATCAAGATTGCGGTTCTACAAGGAGTCAAAAGACAAAATAGAGGAAGAAATTGAAGATTCATTCCTACACTTGATAGAGACTGATGTTTTGTCTTTAGACAGAATGGCTGTGAAAACGAGACATGATTCAGTGCTAAGTAGGATAGTATCGAGAATAAGGAAAAACTCGTGGGGAAATTGTTCTAGGGCGGAAAGACCCTATAAAGAAATAAGACACAAATTAACAATAGAACATGGAGTGATTTGCAATGGGGACCTGGTAGTTCCCCCAGAAACACAAAGAAAACCGATAATAGAAAGTGTACATAATGATATACACTGTGGAGTAGCGGCCACACAAAAAAAGGATAAAATTAGAAGCTTGGTGGCCGGGATATTCAAGAGACATTGAGGAATATGTAAAAAGGTGTAAAGGATGTAAAGAATTAAGAAACTGTACACAAACTAAATTACATTCGTGGCCCAAAAAGTGGAGCCATGGAGTCGTGTGCATATGGATCATGCATACATTAATGGAGTGGGACTCTTATTAATATTAGTAGACTCCTTTTCAGGTTGGCCTGAAATAATCCGGGTTACAAACAAGAAAAGTTCTGCTATAAAGCTGATTATAAGAGTCATATTTTCTAGAAATGGTGTACCAAAAACCTTGGTATCTGATAATGCACCAGAATTTTGTGAGGAAGAACTTAACGTATGGTTAGAAAAAATAGGGTGTAAACCATATAAGACACCTCCATATCACCCTGAATCAAACGAATTAGCAGAATGAATGGTACAGACCGTAAAAAAGGGGCTAAAAGCATGCTGTCAGCAAAAAGAAAAAGTAGAAGTTTTTCTACCGAGGCTGCTTTTAAGTTATCGTACGATACCACATGCGGGAAGACTAGAAAGCCCATCAGTTTTAATGGGAAGACAGATTAGAGCTCCGCTAACGATGTCATATTCTACAAATGAAAAGATGTGGTACAAAAAGAGCAAAGATGCAGATCCGGAAGGAGCCGAATTTATAATGCAAAAAGGCCACAATACAGCCATAATAAATAGAGAAAATGGTGATAGTGTGTTAGCCCATGCAGACCAAATAAGGACCCAGGGTGAAGAGGAAGAACGAAACGACGAAGAAATGTCTTCAATTCCATCTGATAATGAGTTGGTAGAACAACCATTACAGAAGGAAACGTCAGAAGAGGAAACAATGCAGGATGAAGAGGGCCAGAAGGAGTTTGAAAGTTCGGACGAAGACCAGATTATGCAAGAAAACACATATGACTACAGCCTAGCCCGGGAAAGATCGAGGTCTACCAGGGAAAGAAATATGGGAGAGAGAGAAATAGAGCAAAGTGATGAAAATAGCAGGAGAAGGAGTACAAGATCTATGAGAGGAATAAAACCCTTAAGGTTCAGGGAGATGTAGTGATACTAGCAAATTAGTATGCATAATTTGCATAAGCATAAGTGAACAGTCATATAAGTGGTCACTGGGAATAATGAGTAGAAGTACGAGCTTAGCGGCTGATTAGTGCTAACTTCAACTTCACAACAGATTCTAATGAGAAAAATTGTCTATCATGACACTGAACCAACTTTTCTAGCAGCAGACTTAGCAACTGATTCAATATAATCTTTCCACTACATGTCAGTGGAAAATATTAGCCCGAGAAGGCACAATAAGTCACTCTCCTGAAAGTTAGCATCAGTCATGTTGATGTGAGGCAGAACTGGGTCTCTTAAATGATTGATAGAGAGCAGTTTTGTTTTGGAAGTATTAAAATTAACAAGCCATTCCTTGCCCCAGTTAACAGCAGATTGTAGGTCATTTTTGGGATCAGCTGCTAATTTGACTTTATTGAAATGATCAGACTTACTGTTGAGACAGTTGTAAATAGTTGTGTTTTTAAATTGAATAATTTTTTTTCATATTTTCAAAATACTATTATTATTAAAGATTTATGTCTATGTCATCATTGTTTATATTTTACTCTTTTGAAATATAATTTGCAAAGTTATTTTTAATAAAAGTTTTGGAAACTAAACTTTTGTTAATTACGCCAACTACAGATAAGTGAAACTGTAGTTGTCAATTCAGTGGATAGTGAAGTACTGTATTGTAGTTTGCCTAATTAAATATTGTATCAAAAAGATATCACACAAACTGTCACAAAGAAAAATATTTCTATAATTGTTATGAAATGTGATTTTCTTCATATTTTCTCAGTTCAATGGTAGCTGTTAATCTTGTGTATCATATTCTGTGCTTCCCCTTACTGCTTGAGTACTTATATAGTCTCTATGTTTTAGCTATGCTAATTAGGCAGTCATTTATATATCACTACAAAAATATTCAGAAATAAATCATATGTTTGTAACTAAAAGAAAAAAAAAGTAAAATATCAATTTTGATTATTTGAAATATCAAAGTTCACAAATATTAAAAAAAAATACAAAAAAATTATTTTTAAATTAAAAATATTCAAAAATATTAACAAAGTTCATAAATATTCAAAAAATCACTACTCAGGGTAACTCAAGAAATATTTACAAAAATAAAAAAAAAATTAGATTTTACCAACAATATGATTCTTTACAGAATGATTACTTAATGTTTATGAACTGAAGAAAATACAAATGTGTGAAAATCAATTCAGATTCTTGATTGTGAATTTGTTCAAAAATCATTTTACAGTTGACCTTCATTTTACTTCCATTATTTGGAAGCATGGTAAGCAGAAAGCAAACATGTCATATATTCAAATACAGTGTGTTCCAAAAGACACGCAACAACTGGCAGAAAACATACACTTGTGAAATAGCAACCAGGGAAAATTTGCATGACATCTTCCATAATTTGACCAATAAAATTTCTTAATAATATACTGTCACATACAGAAACACAAATCCATTTGATAAATAAATATAAAATTTACAAGGTTATCAATGGTAATATGATTTTTGGAACACCCTGTACAAAATTTACAAATTGAGCAACAGTTAACAAAGAAAATCTTACAGACCATAAGTACACAATTTTACTGGATGCCCCCCTCCCCACAATGATGGCCAGGTATATTAGTTTAGCAAATATCTACAAAATACAAAAGTACTAAGTAGGTACTAAGAATGTATAAGGTGTGTAATGAATAGTGGCTCAAAACAAGAAAATCTGCAAGCCAAGTTCGAATTCTAGTCAAGTTTTGTTACATTCACATTCATGTAACTACCCTGGATATATTTTTCAGTATGCTCATATCACAACCGAATGTGACACTAGGTCAGTTTAAAGTGGGCTTAATTACAATACCATAGAAAAATTGTCCAAGCCCTCTTGGCACTTCTTCTTTTTGGAGATACCTCAGGTACCAAGTAATGACCCCCCCCCCAGTCCCCTCCCAAAAGAAAGGTACTGCCTGGGTGGATGGCTCCCTAAGGCTTGAGCTTAATATTAATTTCAACTTTCCTTGATAGAAGCAAACTTCAATACAAGATAAGTAGAAAAAAACTACCCTAGGGAAAGGTATGAATCGTTCTCTTCTCCTTTCAACTATAGATAAAATAGTAGAGTAGACTGGGCTTTTCAGTCTTGAAGAAGGAAAAGCTGGCTGAATTCAAAACTGTATGAGGCCCTGGTGAGGCACATGGTATGCATCTAACAAAAGGATTTCCCAATGACTAGGATCCTAACTGCAGTCAAGCTGATGGATACAATGAACTGGTTTGGTTTGTGAGGAAAAACTATAAAAATCAAGATTTGGTAAAAATGAACAAACCAGACAGACTTAAATTATAGCAAACACATTATTAGGATATATTTTATTAGATGATCAATTTCAGAGAAAAGAAAAACCTCTTTTTATTGAAAAGATATGAAATTCCCACTGAGTGGATACGAATTTAAAATAAAACTTATAATTTATAGAGAAAGATAAAATTTCCACAGTATTTAAAACATTATTAAGTTTCAGCTTTTAATCATGTATAGTTATTAGAAATCTTATATGCTTCAAGTAACTCACATTCAAATAGAGCTGAGCATTATTCTGTTAAATATTCACACATATTCATGTGTCTACTACTACATCCATGCACCAGGTATAAATAAAAGGACTATCAAGTAGTCACATGATAATCCAAGTAGTAGTACATAGATGGAGTAAAAAGAGGCACTATTAAGAAAACTTAAGCATGTTTGGGTTTGATAAAATTCTTACAAATTCATTCAGTTTGAAAAATGTAATTATCTTTTTAACACGCTCTTCCTTTAAAAATCTTAACAGTTTCATGGTCATGCTAGCTAAAAAGATTATCTGCAAGGAAAGGAAACAACAGTTCTGATATTTTATCAGATGGTTCAATGTCTTTCAAGACACAAAAATCTGCAGTTTTACTGGAAATAAAACGCCATTCACATTTGGCAGCAATGTAGAGAAGGACTTGATTTGAGGACATTTTTCTTTTTTTTTTATTCTAAGTTAAAAAATTTAATGAGATCTGGCCAAATGTCTTGAAGCCATTCACATGTTTGTACATTTTCTAGCCATCTATGGTAGAAATACAAAAATAAAGGGACAGGGGGTGCCAAATTGAACTTTTAAAGCCAAGCAAAAGGACATAATATAAAAAGGCCAGATTTCTGGGATTTGGCATTTTGACTTTCATGAATTGAGAAAAAGGATGTGCAGGCAGCCCAATTTAGAAAATCCCAGTATTTTTCAAGGAACTTTGGGGCTATTGCTGTTTTCCCAGGGATTGAAAAGTCCTGGAAAAGGCCCTGTCAATTCTCCTGGATGTTTCAATGTTTCCAGGACCTGTATGAACCCTTTTCTTAATTTTCAGTTAGGATAAACAGTTTGATGTAACGATGCAATAATAATGAGGTTATCCTCTGTTGAAACTTACCTTTGTTTTTGGAACTTTTCCCTGTTTTAGACTGAAATATAGAAAACACAAAGGCTTTAATATTTATCTCAATAGCAGTAACAGTCAACAGGTCAGTTGTGAATGGATGTACTGGTAGATCTTTATATCATAAATTTTTTTTGAATAACACTACTAATTTCACCATTTGTCAATAATTTCTAAAATCGCTAAAGTAGAAATATCAAACTTTCTCTTCTCATGACAATTGAATTGGCTTCACTTCACATATTGGCTGACCTTCAAAGCTACTCAAACAGACTGACAAAAAAAAAAAAAAAAAAAAAAAAAAAAAAAAGAAAAAAAAGTGTATGACAAAAACCTGTCATAAAGAGAATGCTCTAAAATTAGATTTTAGAATTTAAAATTTTTTAAACTTTTGGTTTATGTGTTTGTAGTGAAGATTTTAGTTGCTTTTTGTACTTTTATTATCAAGCTGTAAATATAAAATATGAAACATTTTCATAGTAATAACCAAAACCTGAAGGAACAAACAAGCCAATGTGATTTGTTTTGTACTTTTTCAATCACATCTTGCTACTTACATATACAAATGGGACAGCAGTTAATTCCAGATTTAGAATAATGTTGTTGAAGAAAAAGAAGAAACTAATTAATGAGTGGGGAGAGACAGATATGGAGGCAAATTATAAGTAATGGGTGAAAGGCTGACCTGTGTTGTGCTAGATTAAAAAATTGGCAAAACAAATAAACAAAGATAAAAAAAAAGTGCTCTTAAGGTGAAAAGATCAATTCCCATATCCCAATCCTTAAAAAAAAGGTAGAAAGAGAGAGCCTAATAATATAGTTTGTGGGAAGAAAAAACAAAGTTAGGTGGTTAAACAAAAGATAAAGTGAAGTTTCAGTCAAAACCTATTAGAGGAGAATGAAACTTGAAACACAATGTAGAAAGATTAAAAGTACAAATGTAATATTTTTTTTTAATAGAAAATATTTGTAAAATATGTCAGAAAGATTTATACACGTTTTAGTTGCACCATTCATTTATTACTAGCATTCATTCATAAATTCATTCCCAATCATTTGCCCTTTCTCTTTTTTTATAATCCATATCCTTCTGACAACAGTTTAAACTTATGCCTTCTTTTTTTTTCCTTCTACCTAAACTCTCTCTATAATCTATAATTTTGGAAGGTGAAAATTTCACTGAAATATATTGGAACATTTTTAAGTTTTCACCTGAAATCAAGAAAATATGAACTTTAAGCAACATGGTCACAATATATATAAAAAAAGATGGTGTCAGATTAAACTGATGCCAGAAGGATGTAGATTAAAAAGAAAGTCATAGGTTGTTCCTATGTAAGGTGTTTTAAATATAAAGTAAATAAGGTTTTTAAAATATAAAGTAAATAGGTCTAATTTGTTTGAAAATATGATTTGAGCATATATGTAAGAATTAGAAACTGTCTCTTTCAACAGCTTTAACATAAAACATACTAAAAATATGGAATATTTAGTAGGTACCACCACTAATTCGCAATATCTAAGGTTTAAAGTGAATTTTTTAAAATGAAAAAGCTTTCTTGAAGACTTTCAGAATAAAGATGAAATCCTCAAAAGTATTAATGAGTTGCCAGTCAGTAGGAATACGATCAAAGAGAGAATAATTGCTATATTCAAAGATTTAACTGATCAACTTGTACACAGGTATGTTTGCAATTTGTTTGGATGAAAGTACAGACATTACATCAATTGCTCATTTAGCAGTTGCTGCATGGAAGAATTGATCAAATTGATAACACTTTTTTTAAGTTGTTTTCTGTTGCCATTACAGGATATGACAACATAACTATGAAATTCAAACACACTATTGTTCAGTGATCAGAGTCACCTATAACTATGAAATTCAAACACACTATTGTTCAGTGATCAGAGTCACCTTCAGTGGCAGGATAAACTTTTTGTACAGCAAATGAAGTCACATACAATGTGATAAAGCTTTAAAAAATCAGTGAAGTAATCAGGTTAAAAACTAAATAATAACTTAAGATGTGATTATGACACGCCTTTACATTCAGACACATATATACTCTACTTATCATACTCAACATTTCAGCCATTGTAATCTCAGATCTTCTTCAGGCATCTATCATACTTCTCAGAATTTATTCAATCAATAGGTTCAGATTGTTCTCATTCCAATTTTCATAATTAGGGCATAAATTGTATCAGTTAATACTCTCCAACCTATTTTGACTTTTTCTGTCACTTATCAACTGTGGAAAAAAATTTATGCAACACTTTAATCTACTAGTTCAGAGATCGCGAATCTTTATAGTTGTCAGGTCATTTTTGGTATTTTTAAATTGTTCATAAACATAAATGGGTCACTCATATACTTAGTGATATTTTGTTAATGAGAAACTAGTTGCTGTATCTTAGTTGCTAATGCTTTAATTTGCAGTTCATACTTTGTTGTCTTCAGCTTAATGTACGCAGCACTCTTATCCATACTAAGGTGATTCCTAGGGGGGTGATTTTATATTAGCTCATGAAGGAAAACAATGTTTCACATGAGCAGATAAAAAATGGTAAGCGTTGCTAAGGTCAATTTTTTCATTGATGCAAAAGAGTTAGGCAAAGACTGCCATTCAGTAAGAATTAAGTTCTCAGATCTGCTTTCTAAGGATACATTTTCTTTTGTTACACAGACTAATCATTTTACTTCCTTTTCTTGCAACTTCAGATTAAGGTCAATAAATTTTCTCTTCCATACTACACGTTCTTGAAGTTTACTAATTTCATTTCTAAGTTGATTATATCATGTCAATCAAAGATGGATAGCTTAAGATCATGAATTTGAATAATATGAAGGAATTGAATGAATTGTAAGGTGGTATTTCATTCTCGGAATTAAGAAAATCTCTCTGAAAGTAAATGCTTGACATTCTTTAGTATTGACGAAGACCTTTTCAGTACAGTTTTTCTCTCTTCTGCACTGTCAGTTGAAAAATATGAAAATGAGAAATGTTTCTTTAATAATAGAAAATATTTCAGCTTGTTTTTTTTTTGAAAGCTTTAATATGTCCAAACATCAACAGCACAGCACTTCCATTATCTTGCAATATTTTTTATTCAATTTACTTTAAGAAAGTGAAATCTGAAAAAAATTAAGTCATTCAAACATTTAATATCAGTCAGTTCTGGAGAGTCATTGCCTTTTTTGCCAAAGAAGAGACTTATTTCTTCCAGAAACTCCACAAAACACTTGGCTACGACTTAAACATCTGACATCGTTGTACATGAGTTACCCAGAAAATTGACTGTTATCTTCATTCAATAGCTTGGTGAATTGATGTTTAAGTGCATAAGCAGCTATAAAATTCACAATGTTTTGTTACAAGGGACATGACATTTTATAGTAATTTTAAACTAGTTTTTGCACATAGAGACTCTTGATGCAAAATGCAATGAAATTCAACTAAATTGAGCATAAATTTTGATGATGACTTTCAAAATGGCACTTCATATTATATGATTTTGCAGCAATTGACTCCTTGCATACATACAGCAAAAAGTGTTTTAATTTTTCTCAATAACACCATATTTTTTTCACTTCACCCTTTGTGAAAAAGCCACCCACTTCCATTATGTTCTGAGCTTATTTTGCTTTTCTTATGGGTTATTTTTACAGGTTAAAAGGAAATATTACAAATGAATTCAGAATAGTCAAAAATTTTAAAATATCCAAGAAGACACTGAAAATAGGTAAGACCACAACTGATAAAATGCGAAGAGAAATAATTGTACAAAACATTATAAAACTGACTGTGTATCAGCTGGATAGAAAGTTTATAGTAGGCCAGTTCATGACCTGTGCATCAGTGGTTCACCATCTCTGTACTAGGCTATGTGCCTGTTAGACAATCCAGTGGCATCACTTTAGAGTCTTAAACTCATACTCAGGAGGCAGAATTGTATTAATGGCCTTTCTTAATCAGAGGCCACAACATGGTGGTATTCATCTCTATGCTAGGTCTACTGAGGAGGAGGCTGTCAAAATCTAACATGTGCAATGATTCTTTCAGTTGTTTTATCCTCCGGTGCTGTTCTTTGTCTATTATCTTAACTTCATTCTCTGAGAATTGTGAGTTCAATCACTGAGTGTGAAAAGGTCATATGCTCTGGGCAAATGTAAGAAGCAAGAAACTGACTCAAAAGTGAATTGACAGCTGAGATGATGCGAGATATCCTTTAATAATAAACTGTAGAATATGGACAACCTATCTAGATTGATTGTAAAAAGGTTTCAGTTCAAAATTTCAAGAAAGGTTACCGAGTACACCTGAGGAAGGCTGGAAAGTACAACAACTGAAATATTGTGACTATAACAACCAAGATGAATAGTCAGAATAGAAAGGAATATAATAATGGTAATTGCTCATCTCAAAAGTTCAAACACAAATTATCATAAATTTTAACTGTAGATTATGAGATTTAAGCAACAAAAATTATTCTTAATAATAATTCTTAATTAATAATCATCTTGTTGCTTTTTTTGAGTACTCACAATAAAAACATATCAAAATGGTAACTACCAAACAAACATGTCGTATAAAAACCTGTATTCACATAAATAGCATTAAATATCTATAGTGCTTTTTGTATGTGCATAAAGTAACATATAGGGAGAAGAACAAAGAAAATGAGTGACATATTTGTAAATAAAAGAGAGGACACTAGGTTCATACAGAGAGAAAAGCCAAAATCAAACTATTTCTGTGCTAGGATAATGTTTTAGGCTGGCAAACTCAGGTTAAATGTCATGAAAATACAAGCAGAAATTTAAATGTTGTCATGCAAATAGACTAAATTTTTCTTGTTTTCAATGGAAAAAAAACTTAGATATGACAGCATACATGAGGTGTAAAAGAAGCTAGTCATATCATGACATTAAGGCTTTCACATGTACTTTTAAATGTCCAAAAATATTTTAAAACTAAAACACAATAAAAACTAAGATAAAAAAAGAATGTGTAACTGAGGGCA